CTTTCTTTCTTTCTTTCTTTCTTTCTTTCCCTTTCTTCTTTCTTTTCCTTTCTTTCTTTTCAAATCTCCTGAATAATTCTAATTATAAGGGAGCTTATAATATATAGTCGGAGCACATGCCCACTTTACAGATACTTACTTGGAAACAGGTTAACTGATCTTTTCAAAATCCCACGTCTCCCCAATGGACTCACCCCTCAAAAAAATAAACCTGGGGAAAAAAGCACAAAGCAAAACAAAATTGAAATTTGACTTGTCAGAACATGAACAATTTATGAAATTAGAAACTCTGCGGGCAATGTTTTTTCTTTAGGTTTTTCTGTGGCATATTTATGTGACAACCATAATGCAGTTAAAGCTAATGTTGATGGCTTCTTAAGGTTCTGTTTCTTTAACTGCACTAATTTTTTCCTAGTCTTATTTTTCAGACCATGCACAGAGGTTTTCCCCCACTTTACTGAGTTGCATTCTTCTTCAGTTGATCTCAACTATTTTTTTTAATAGAACTATGACGATTTTATTTCTGTGTCTAGAAATGTTCTCTGTGCCTCTAGATAATTGTTACAGAGCGCTGTCCTATAGTAGTAAATTTGGCAACATTCTGGCCTTCACTAGATGTTGCTACTGTAAGAACCAAAAATATCTCAGAACATAGTTTTTTGGGAAACAAGATTGCCTGAGGTTGAAAAACACTAATTTAAACCTCATGTCCTAGTTTTGTTTGGCTTGGAAACCTCTCCCAGTTCTTCCAATGACTAAATGCATACAGCATTTATCACTACTAGGCCTTATCTTTTGCTTCTTAATGGCAACTTCTCCATTAAAGTCAATTAAATTTTCATTTTCATTCCATAGAAAATTTTGCTGATGTGCCTCAAACTACCCAAATTGAAAAATATTGCCAAATAACTCAGACACATCTTTTCTGATTTTGTGAGCAAGATTTCTCTAAACTGCTTTAAACTGGGTCTGTTTTGTGCCTATCTCTTTGTATCATACACGTAACCAAGTCAGCGTTTTTCTTAACCAAGTCAGAAATTTCAAAATATTAAGTGTCAAGGGTGATTTCATAATTTCAGAAGAAAACAAACCGTGTTGATGGTAGACCAAATGTGGCCTCTTGGTGGCACTGTTTATTTTTGACAAAAGAAGACGCAGCCCTTGATGCATTATGTGTTGCAGAATATGTAGTTTAAGGTCAATGAAATAAACCATTTTCAAAAGGAAGCAGCTTCCATGGAAAGATTGTTGTATTATCCCACTAACAGACTGTGATAGATGTAGCCCTACAATTTGTTGGAGACCAGGTTGATCCTAAAGTCAGTTTTGTAGACTGGCATCAGGGTGTAATTATCTAAACAAAAAGACACAGATACAGTATGTCATCCCTGCTAATGATCACGGCATTTTCTTGCCCAGTAATCTGTAACAAAAAGCCTCAGAAAATGTTCAAGCTGCATTTAAGTGCAGAACTACAGAAAAACTTGGTGGCACAAAAATTATTCCAGTCAACTGAGTGGAAATGACAACACTAATACAAAGTTATGTCTTCTAGGGAGATGTGTGTTTGGAATGTCACCAATGGATGGTGTGTGGACAAAGCCACACTTCCTTATAGGCATTCTGCGATCTGTGTGAGTACTTTCACTGCCTGAAAAACATTTCTGAATTTTGATGTTTTTTTTCTTTAGGATTTTCTATGCCAGACATTCCAAGAAATGTCTTTGGAGATTTTTTCCCCCCGAAGTTATTATTATTTTTTAAATCAATTAGAGTGACATCAGGTATTCTGTACCTTGGCAGTGTTCTTTGAAAAAAGTCATCATTCAACCATATTTATCCTGATTCTTTCCACTTCCGCATCTTAGAAAAATAGGCTCTGAAAGACAGGTCCCTTATTCTTCCTTTGTTGCACTTATAAATACACTCAGATTCAATTTTAGTGACATGCTGTTTTATAAAATTGTTTTCAATTTTAACATTTCTTTACATTCAAATTTAACATTTCTACTTTTAAGTTCTGAATTTCTTATTTATGAAAAGAGTAAAAGACATAGCTATAACCATTGAAATCATTTCCCAATATTGCAAAGCGGATCTTAATTTCTGGTACAGTGACTTTAAGAATCTATGTGGGCTAGTGGCATGATTCCAGTGGGGCTGGCAGATATGTTAGAGTTCACTAATGGCTTTTAGCATTGATGACTTGCATTGAAGCGTTCACTATCTGCTTTCTGGGACCAGAACCAGTATGATGAGAGAACTCATCAAGGGTATAATAAATTAATTAATCTTTAGTTAAAGCTAATCTCAAAAGTATTTGGCCCAAGGATTCTTCAAATATTTCTTAAAATACTTTTATTTTATCTTAACCTGTGAAGTGTCTCTAGGAAAAGGAACCTGGATTTTTATTTCTTTGTTTTAACTGAATTTAACATAACACTTCCATAATAATGTACTTGGAGACTTCCATGATTTGTAATAATATTTTTTCTCCAAAAGAGATCTTTTTCTGATCAAATACAAATGAAGTGCAAAAACCAATACTTTAGAAGTGTGACATGATTGAATTAAAAGAAACTTTAGTTGGTTTTCAGTATAATATCTTAATTAATTAAAAACCAAAGTCTTCATCATAGTAAAAATTATGTTACTTTCTGGGGGTAATTAATTTTTGCTTTTCATTCTACCTGCATAGTATTACCACTGCTCTTCCCGGATGACGGGAGAAGGCTGGCTTCTCTGTTGTGGAGAATATCAAGATGTTCTTATCATTGATGCCAAAACCTTAGCTGTTGTTCACAATTTCACATCATCTCAGTCTTCAGACTGGATCAACTGCATGTGCATTGTTCACTCCATGAGAATTCAAGGTAATCCTTGGCTGTATTATAACACCAAGGGATTGCACATCAAAATATCACTTTTGAACTGTTGGTTAAATTATTAGGCTAGGGTTCAGAATGTTTCTTTATATATATATATATATATGTATATATATATATATATATATCTTTGTGGAAAAGTCAGATCAGGAATGAGTGAGTATATCCAAGTCAATGCTTCAGCTCCTTGGGTAATCAGTGAGAGATTAAGATGAAGAGGATGGAGGAAGCCTCATCTCCATGACCTACTTTTACTCAGGTCATTTTAAGCATAGTGAGCAGGCATTTGTTTTAGATCAGCCAGACTCTCACAGCTATATCTTTTGGATGGAGGAATAAGATAATTCAGTTTCTGGAATCAGTACAGAATGTAATGTAATGACTACTAACATTTTTTTCTGAAATTCGAAAGATGCAGGATTGCCAATGCAATGATTTGCAACGTGTTTCCGGTGCTCGTGACACTCTCCTTTGGCCTGGGGATGATTTTAGAATTTTAAAGCAAACGCATAACATTATCTAAAACATAATGTGTTTATTTAAAAAAGTGTGACTTTTCAACCTACATGACCCTGCATAATCCTTGAATGATTATGAAATGGTTTTTTACAGTCCCTAGTCATAGCAGTGGTCTGCTTACCTGTGCGTTCTGTTGTTGTTTCTCTAGAGGATTCTCTGTTGGTGGTTTCAGTAGCTGGTGAGCTCAAAGCATGGGACCTCTCTTCATCTATCAACAGCATTCAGGTTGGTTATTTAAGTTCTAATCTGTTTTCCCTCCAGGTTCAAGCATATTTGTTGAAACTGTTTAAATTAGAAGGGCATTACATGCCCACTGTTAAAAGAACAAATATTGGGCTGGAGAGAACATACACAGGTAAGGTGCTTGCCATGCATGTAGCCAATTCGAATGATACCTGACCTTAAGCACCACCAGGAATAATTCCTGAACACAGAGCCAGGAATAAGCCCTGAGCACTGCTGGGTATTCCTCACCACACACCTTACCAAAAAAAAAAAAAAAAGGAAAAATAATACAGATGTATAGATTGTATCTCCTCTTGTACTTCTCTCAGTCTCCTTTTTTAGTGGTAGCCATAATTTCGACTTGAATTTTATCCTTCCTGTGCAGATAGAAATTTTTTTTTTTTAAGTTTTAAAAATTTTTACACCTTCCCTAAACATAGATATCCAGTGCTGGGATTCGAACATGGGTCAGTTGCATATACGGCAAGAGCCTTGACTTTTAAACTACCTCTCTAACCTTGGCAACATTTTAAAGTTAAAGTAAAAATTAGAGAATACCTCTCAGACCCTCTTTCTAGGGGGTGTGTGGTGGGAGGGAGGTAACTCTAGGCAGCTGGGAGACAGATGTCCTGCTACTTAGCATGAGAAGGCACTCCAGAGAACAGCCATTGTATTTGTGCTGATAACAACATTGTTTCGGCTGCCCCAGGGTGCTCTTGAGGGAGAGCTTTGGCCCAAGGAAAACACTCAACCTTATCAGAAAGTAACTGAGATACAAGATTTTGTGTGTTTTTTTGAGGGGGAGAGGGGTGGGAGGGAGGTGGGCACTCATATCTTTTCGAAGTATTTTGTTTATTTCTTTCTGCTACTAAAATCAGTAAGTTATATCAGCTTGTAAAAATCTTTTTTAAAGTTATGGCAGCTTGTAAAAATACTTTTTAAAAATCTTTTTGTCACACTTGAGAGTTAGTAATTTGTTTCTGTCTTTTCTCAAAGCGCCTAGCATAGTACCCCCAGAATGTTTCTTGAATGATTTTATATAATGAATCCAAGTGAATATCTGTTCACTGTTTCTTTGGACAAGTGTCATCTTAGTTCAGAAAACTTAAAGGGAAACAGGCAATTTGTCACTTTATATTAACAGCGTGTTTTACTTCAGATGTGCTGGGAATAAGTCTTCTCAGAGATTGGTATACAAATGACTCAGGCCTAGTATTAAAATACTTCATTCCTTTTGAAGGAAAAGCAAGATGTCTATGAAAAAGAATCCAAGTTTCTTGATGCCCAGAACTGCCGGACAATACGATTTTGCACCTATACAGAGAGACTTCTGTTGGTGGTATTTTCTAAGTGTTGGAAGGTATTATGAAATAGCACCAAGTATGAGTGTTCTGCATCTGCTTTGGTGTTTTTGATTTGTTTCCTTGTTCAGATTAACAGTGGTCCTTTCTCCAGTTGTCATTTTTCTGTTTTGTCATTTTTTCAGTAAATATTGTTTTACTTGTGACTGTCTATAGACATGTGCAAAGAGGAAAAAACTGTGTTTGCATCAGTTGGTAGCATCCTTTTGATTTTTCATATATCTGTCTCACTTAACAAAAGTAAAGATTGTCTTATTTATATGTCATTAATATATTTGTGAAGGAAAAAGTTTATGACCTAAGAACAGCCTTCTGCTGTAGAAACTTCATGTAATTGTCTTTCATATGTTAAGTGGAACTGTCCATATGGATAGAATAAAAGAGAGAGATTTGAGGGATTTCTAGTTCTCTTTGTTTACTGGACACATTCTGGAATGATACAGTTATTCACTGAAATTCTCCCTAGGACAAATAGAAACTGAGTACTAGTAAAGTGTTATGTTGATATTGAATGTAGGGTGGCTTGTTGTGAAGACTTACTATTTTATTGCATTTGTACTATCTTCTAAATATTCTTGGTAAGCATAATGTATCTTTCACCTCTTTGAGATACTCTGAGTTATTGTTAATATGCATCATTCATTTTGTGTTTTAGGTTTATGATTACTGTGATTTTACCCTCCTGTGGACTGAAGTTAGTAGGAGTGGGCAGTTCTTTGCTGGTGGTGAGGTGCTTGCTGCTCACAGAATCATCATTTGGACAGAAGATGGTCAGAGCAATATCTATCAGCTGCTGAACAGGTGGGCTCAGATGGAAACAGCGTACAAAACACTCAGGTAGAAAATGAACTTGGGGAGGTTTATTATGGAAAAATCCCTGCATGCTGCCCATGATCAAAAACCAGAACAAAACAACTTTGGCACTGGAAGATTTACTCTGGGCTTGGTAGGCTCCAGCCTTTGTATAAACCAGCAGGGGATGAAGGAATGAGATTAACCATGTATAACTTGTACAGCTGGTGCTGGGTTTTCAAAAAGTCACTTGTAATTATTAACCCAACAATTTCTAGCCAGAGTTGAGAAACTTGAATGGTACCATGCCGCTTTTGAAAGAAAGAGGGAGGAAAAGTGAATAAAGAAATTCAAAGTTCTAAACTTTGCTTTTTATTTTTTTGCAATGCAGCGGGCTTTCAAAAAGCATATACCCTGCTGATGGAAGAGTGGTTACAGAGACCATTTATCCTCATTTACTCTGCTCTACTTCTGTGCAGGAAAATAAGGTAATGCCAGAGAGGAGTGACTGCCTCAAAGTTGTTTCACTCCATTTCTCAGATAAGTGTTGCTTTGTCTGTAATGGAGACAGACTTGAAAAAATGAAACAACCCGATCACCTCAAGTTGATAATGAGAAAATCAAATCTAACTGTTTATGGACATTAAAGACAAAGTTTTTCCTTTAAAAAAATCTATTTTATGAAGTATGAGTAACTAAACAATACGTGTTTGTTATTCCAAAACTATAAAAAGTCAAAAAAGAAGGAATTAACATTTCTAATTTTACCATAATAAAGCCTCATCATGAATACTTTTGATTTTAGGAATTTACTCATTTTAATTGGGAAATGTATAAGTATTTGAAAAGGTGTGAAAATAGTACATTGGTCACTATATACTCTTAGATCCACCAATTGTCAGAAATCTACTGTTTTTTTTTCTATCTTACACACACATACACACATCTCCTTTTGGTAGTTCGATATAGTACTATTAACATTTTGATATATCTATTCCATCTTTTTGAACTTTCATAAAAGAATTTATATTCTGTTGCTTAAAAATCTGAATCATAATTCAGATAATTTTCCTATTAATCTAGCTATTCTTTTGAATATGTTCTTTGTTACAATTAATATGACTGATTTCTGGAAGAGAGTGGGGAAATTATTGTGAGCTTTTACTGGACTGAATTATTGTCTTTGACATGGTGTGAAGTCTGGAAATTCAAGCAGTTATTTTATTGTAGTAGTTTTAGCCAAAGTGTGTCCTTCAATCTCTTGGATTACTAAATCCAAGATTCTAAATCACCTAATTATCAAAAAACTTACTTCATGATGAATGGAGGTTTTGAATTGTTAAGGAGTCAGTCAATAAAAAGCATGCTACTTTTTTCAGAATTAACACTGTAGTGATAGTTTGTTTAATCCTATGGTCTGACAGGGAATCCTGTAGTTTTGTGGTTTTCCTTTAGCACTGCACTGTCCTTTGCACTGTCCGCCCATTGTGCATCGATTTGCTCGAGTGGGCACCAGTAACGTCTCACAACAAATTGTGAGACTTGTTATTGTTTTTGGCATATTGAATATGTCATGGGTAGCTTGCCAGGCTTTGCTGTGCGGGCAAGATACTCTCAATGCTTGCTGGGCTCTCCGAGAGGGGCAGAGAAATTGAACCTGGGTCAGCTGTGTGCAAGGCAAACACCCTACCCACTGAGCTATTGCTCCAGCCCTTTCCTTTAGCATATTTGTAAAATTTAGAGGTAAAATTTAGAATTATGGCACTGAACACTTTTTCTAAAGTTATATTTGGACACTAATAAAGCCTGATTGATAACATCAATATTTTGTTATACTGGGGCATTTTAAGTTTTTTTTTAAATAAAAATTTCTTTTTTTAAACTAGAATGCATTTGTATGAAGCACAGTTTGCTTGAAAGCTAAATATAAATAATGACTTTTAGAAGCTGCTAGTCTACTGAAAATATGAATACTATAACATAACTAAAAAAAAAGGTACAACAATTTAAAATAATCTTAAAATTACTAGTTATGTCAGAAGCTACCTTGCTGTATTCTTCAAAATGTGAAGTAATTGATGTATAGTTCTTTGGTCAGTAATTTGTATTTTGACAACCATAATGGTTTCTATACATTAATGGTGAGAAGCACTTTGTGAAGTCAGATTGTGAAGTCAGAATGAAATCATCTAAAATGGAAAAACGTTGGCCTACCCAGTTACCTTTCAGCCAAGAAATTAAAGAGAGACATTATTTTGTATATTCAAAGTGTCACCACTATCTTTACGACATATAGAACTCATCCATCTGTCTTGCACTGAAGTGGTAAGGAAGGTAGAGAGCTCGGTTGGGCTGCAGTTGATAGATACAGTGATCTTAGAAAAGGCTGCTCTGGAAACACCAGGTATTGACTGGACTCACTTCTTAAAGAATAAGAGCATAGAATTAAATATCAGTGTTTTATAGTATTGCGTTCTCAGAGTTACCATTTACCATGCTGAGAACAAGCTGTTTGGAGGAGTCCTATTTCCTTCCAGAAGCTCTGTGAGACTCTGTAGCTTGTATATCACAGTTGATGGGTACTGAAGCCCACTTGCTTTCTGTCAAGGTGAGGATCTGGGTTTTCCAAGACCCCAGTGAAACTTCAGAACTATGAGAGGAACAGTCTGAGCATTGCCGATGAGAAACTTGGTGCAGAGCTGAAAGTGATGATAATATGTTCATTTTTCTTGAATTATTATTATTGTCAAACATTTATTGACTTATTTGCATGATGCCCTCCATCACCAATAATTAGATTTTGAAACTAATATTTAGGGAGGATAGTGTCCAGGATTTGAACCCAGTCAGTGTAACCCCAGTATCTGATAATGGATCTTTAGAGTGAACTTCTCAGTTGTTCTGAGAAGAAAATAATGGGAATGGCTAATATTTATTGAGCATGGACCAAGTGCTTGGCACCATTCTAATCAGTTACCTTCATCAACTCATTAATCCTGACAGTAATCCCTTAGAGTAGTTGCTGTGATTAGCCTTCTTTCAGTTAGGGAAAATGAGACACAAAGAAGTAAAGTAAATTGCCTAAATCAAGTAATTGGTTCTTTTAATAGAGTTAATATGTGTTAAAACCAGGATTTGAATCCAGGAAGTTAGCTCAAGGGAATTCACTCTTATTGACTATTTTATTACCTCTTGGAAATATACTTCCTGTGATGGGTACTGGGTTCTATGATAAAAAAGGACTCAGAATGGAGCCACATAGTCCAGTGTGTAGAATGCTTGAATTGCATTTGATCTACCTGTATTTGACCTGAGCAACCCCTCTGATCCCTAAGCCCTGCCTGAGCAGGAGTTATTCCTGAATTATTCCTGAGCACCCCCAGGAGTGATCCTTGAGTGAAGAGCCAGGAGTGAGCTCTGAGGCCCTCTAGGTGTGGCCCCCAACCAAAACAAAACCAAAACAAACAAAACAACTCAGAACCTTCAGAAATTTACAGGTGAATGGCAGAATTTAAGAGAGGAGATTGCAGGGATTTGAGATCCAGAGTGAAGGAGTGTGAATGAGGAAGGGGCAACAGAATAGGTGAGGGCAGAGGGTAAAGCAACATGTTTCCAGACACTGGAGGGCCAGGCCCTGACCTAGAGGAGGAGAAGCCTGCAGGCAGTTCACCCATCACTGATGGTCAGTTCCAAATCCAAATTTTGAGGGAATCAAACTGGTTAATTATTTGCTCGATTTGCTCGAGCGGGCCCAGTAATGTCTCCATTGGAGATTTTGTTGTTTGTTTTGTTTGTGTTTTGCATATCGAATACATCAGGTTACCAAAAGCTGAGAGAGTGGGAATGAATTTCACCCCATTTTATCAGTATAATTTCTGACATCCACAATAACGTTGGCCATAGTGTCATTGTTTCACGACAGCAGTGGTCTCTCCTACCTCCACTCCTCTTCATCCCTCCCTTTCTTTCCTTCCCCTCCCCTCTTCCCTCCCTATCTTTTCCCCTCCTCTCTGTTTATTTATCTGTTTATTTACTTTTATTTTGCAGGCCACACCCAGCAGGGCTTACTCCTGGCTCTATACTCAGGAATCGGTCTGGTGGTGCCAGGGACATATGTGGCATGCTGGGAATCGAATCTGGGTTTGTTGAACTCAGTCCCTGTCCAGCTATCATTGGAGGCCTTGGTTTTTTAATTCTAGCACCAGCACCTGGCTTTCAGAAGATGCATGATATTTTTTGTTTTTGTTTTGTTTTGGGGTCACACCTACCTGTGCTCAGGGTTTACTCCTATTTCTGCTCAGAGGAAACACATGTAGTGCAAAGTAAAGACTTCTCCTGGGCTGTATGCAAGCAAACACCTTACCCTCTGTACTCTCTCCTGTCCCCAGTATGATTTTATTTGTTGTCAAAATATGCTTTGGTTTTTGTTTTCCTTATGCATCACTTCTGCCTCAAGAATTGCACTCTGATACGAGGAAGAATCTAGAGTCATTCACAAATGGAAACTATCTTCACTATATTCATGCTCAGGCTAATGCTCTCAATAAAATGATGTGATTTAGATGGAGCGATAGCACAGCGGTAGGGCGTTTGCCTTGCACGCAGCCAACATGGCTGACCCGAGTTCGATTCCTCCGCCCCTCTCGGAGAGCCCGGCAAGCTACCGAGAGTATCTCGCCCGCATGGCGGAGCCTGGCAAGCTCCCCGTGACATATTCGATATGCCAAACACAGTAACAACAAAGCCTCCAATGGAGACGTTACTGGGCCCGCTCGAGCAAATCGATGAACAACGGGAGGGCCTTTACCTTACCTTACCTTTACCATGTGTACTTAGATATGCATGTCTTATAGCACTGTAGCACTGTTCATCGATTTGCTCAAGAAGGTACCAGTAACGTTTCCATTGTGAGACTTGCTGTTACTTTTTTTGAGATATCGAATATGCCACGGGGAGCTTGCCAGGATCTGCCGTGTGGGCGGGATACTCTCGGTAGCTTGCCGGGCTCTCCAAGAGGGACAGAGGAATTGAACGGGGTCAGCTGCGAGCAAGGCAAACACCTTACCCATTGTGCTATTGCTCCAGCCCATGCATGACTTATAATAGATACTAAATGTGAAATATATGAGCTAGGGACTAATTTGTCTTTTCTTTTGCAAAAATATTTGCTTGGAGGGTCTGAACCTGGCAATGTTCCGGAATTACCTCTGACTTTGCACTCAGGAATTAATCCTGGTGGTACTCAGGGGACCCTATGGGATGCCACTGATAGAACGAGGGTCGTCTGAATGGAAGACAAACACCCAGTACCTGCTGCACTATTGCTGTTTTTTTTCTTTTGTTTAAGCAGTGTTCATTGTGACTGAGGTTCACAGTAGTTTTTGCATTCAAGCATATAGTAAATAAAATTACTGTGCCTCCACCAGTCTAGAGAGGCCAATACTCTCCCCAGCGTCCTAGTGTCATTCTCAGCCAGACTTTTCTGCCCTCCCCTCCAACACTTGGTAACACCATTTCTGAATTCACTCAAAGCCAAAGACTTGTCATTAAATACCATCCATTTCCTTGTTTTGTATCTTTTTAACCACATATGATTGAGGTGCCCAGTGTTTGTGACTCATTTTTCTTTGTAGCCACTTGGGAAATTTGAGATCAAGTATATAAAAATCAAGAAAAAAGTTGTCAACAGAAAATAAGGATTACACTAATAGACAAAGCTACCATGCAAATATTATTGTTGCTGTTTTAAGTGAGAATTGAAAATGAAGGGATCATGGGGCTGGAGCAATAGTGCATCTGGTAGGGAGTTTGCCTTGCACGTGGCCGACCCAGGTTCAACTCCCAGCATCCCATATTGTCCTCTGAGCACTTCCAGGAGTAATTTCTGAGTGCAGAGCCAAGAAGTAACTCATGTGCATTGCCTGGTGTGAACCAAAAAGCAAATAAATAAATAAATAAATAAAAAAGAAAGAAAATGAAGGGATCATAAAGAAGTCATGCTTCCTTGTTGTCCATTAGTGTTTTCATCAAAGTAGGAGATCTTCTGTCATAATTACGGGGCTCCAGAGCCTGTGACTTTCAGTCTCTTCACTTTAAATTTACTCATTTGGGCAACGAAAGACGCTGGGAGTAGCAGGTTCACAGGATTATTGTGAGGATTATTTGGTTGAATAGCTGGAAAGCCCCAGCAGTAAGTGAACTATACAGAACACATTCTAAGGATTAGATATTTTCATTAATGCTAGTCATATTGCCTCACTTTATAAACATTTTTTGGTCTTAATAAATGTTTAATTTACTTAAAAAATTTGAAGCACAGGGAGATAGATGGGACTTTCCTAGTTTAACTCTGAAACCTTGTTCTCCATGTCAAAACAGTGGCTATCCCTACAGAAAGAGCTGTAGCACTGTAACACTGTCCTCCCGTTGTTCATCCATTTGCTCGAGTGGGCACCAGTAACGTCTCGTTGTAAGACTTGTTACTGTTTTTGGCATATTGAATATGCCACGGGGAGCTTGCCAGGCTATGCCTACAGCTCTACAGAAAGTGCTAACTTACTGTTTTGTTTTGACTTATTCCCAAATCAGAGTCTTCCCTTTGTTATGGGTTACATGAATGAAAGGAAAGAGCCTTTTTATAAGGTACTTTTCTCTGGAGAAGTATCAGGAAGAATTACTTTGTGGCATATCCCTGATGTTCCTGTCTCTAAGTTTGATGGCTCTCCTGGAGGTAAGACAGTTTTCATTTCTATTCATGTGTCTTCAAAGAATTCGTTTGTAATCAATCCAGTGTTCTATTCAGTTGGGTAACAATGGACAGAAAATGGGAACAATTTTCTGTATTATAATTTGTTGTCCACTGTATATATCAATTAAAAAGTAGGTATGACTTTTTTTGATTTTTTGCTTTTTTGGGGGGTCATACCTGGCCATCCACAGGGGTTACTCCTGCTCTGCACTCAGGAATTCCTCCTGGCAGTGCTCAGGTGACCATATGGGATGCTGAAAATCAAACTCGGGTCGGCCATGTGCAAGGCAAACGTCCTACCCTCTGTGCTATCGCTCCAGTCCCAAGTATGATTTTGATGCTCATAGATCTTATACAACAACAGAACAGATATAATTCAAATTAGAATCATTAATAAATAAGGTCATCATTTTCATGTGTAATGTTTTATTAAAATAAAACGAGTGCTGATCACGTCTTGATTTTTTTTTTTTTTGGCTAAGGTAGTATCTGTTCTTATTAGTTGAATATCTGGTTGGTGTATCCTATTTGGAAACTGGAGATGGAATGAGAGCTTGGTCTCTTTATGCATTCACATGGTTTTGTGGTACCTATATGAGTATTGCACTTTGTAAGTGGTAAACTTATGGGCTGGAGAGAGGAGATAGAGTGCAGGTTACTTGTCTTTTGGGCGACCAACTTGTGTTCAATCCCTAGCACTTTGAGCCCCACTAGGATTGATCTCTGAGTGTGGAGCCAGGAGTAAGCCCTGAGCACAGCTCGGTGTCTTTCCAACCCACCCATAAAGGGGTTGCTAGGAATAGGGATATGGATAATTTGAATTACCCTATTTATTTATTTTATCTTATTTATTTATATTTATTTGTTTTAAATTGGTATCCATACCTGAATTCTTCTTCAACTAATATCTCTATTGAGATTATTACAGGTGTCTGGAACCTTGAACTTCAAGTAAGAATGAAGTTGTTTACTAAACTTTTTAAAGTGTGGGTGTGGGGCTTAGAAATGCTCTTGGTGATACTCAGCTAGTGCTGGACTGGGAATGGGGACTGCTCAGGCCTGGCAGAGAGATTTATTTCTGAGTGTTTGGATCACGGTCATAAATGAGCTTAAATGGTGCCAGAGGCAGTTCCTGAGTGTGACTGTCAGGCTACATGGGGAGATGTGGGGGAAGGTCACCCACCCCCGACACCTTGTGAGCCTGGATATTTCAGTCACAAGTCCCACATACCTGGGTTTTTCAGCAAATTCACTTATGAGTGAGGCTCCGCTCTCATTTTTATTAGTCATCGCATTCACTAGTATTCCTTTGAGTGTATCTAATTTCCAAAATAGTTTGTAATAAATCTGAACAAATAAGGAATGGGTTAAATAAACTTAGGAGCCAGAGAGCTGGTATAGGGGTTAGAGTTTGATTTAACCAAGGCCTCTCAGCACTGCTTGGTCCTCTGAGGAACAACCGTTGTGGTCCTGGGGGGTCCTAGGGACTGTCAGGGTGGCCCAGAGTCAGCTGGCAGTGCAGGTGGGAGAGACCCCTCATCCTCTTTCTCTCAAGGAACCATTTGGTGGGTTGGCCAAGAATCCCTAGGAGGAGCTCCCTGGCCTCTGGGCATCACTCTGCATCCCCTGCCACTCTAGAAAGAGAAAGAAAGAAACTTAAAACTTGGCCCATTATTCAGAAAAAAAAGTCTGTTAGAGGTTTAATTTTCAGATTCAAAATTTGTACTTTGCCCACTTTGTAGACTGCTCAGGGTGGTGATGGTCTGAAATTCCTCCTGGCTTCCAATTTCTTAGCATCAGAATTGGGTTGCTGGCAACCTCGTTTCTAGCAAGAATCAGAGATGTCCTCAGGAAGTCTCAGTGGAGTTCAGGTTTGCACAGAACACTGATGGGTGCATCGATTGCACTGGCCTGGAGGATCTTTCATATGAGGGAGGTTGAGTCTGACTTGCCTGTTTTCCTCCAGGATGCCAAGGCTTCTCTCATCCCAGGGCCTACCGAAGGCTAGAGCCATACATAGCACAGCAGGGTAGGGCGTTTGCGTTGCATGCCGCCGATCTGGGTTCAGTTCCTCCATCTCTCTTAGAGAGCCTGGAAGGCTACTAAGAATATCCCACCTGCACGGCAAAGTCTGGCAAGTTTTCTGTGGCATAGTCGATATGCCAAAAACAGTAACAACAAGTCTCACAATGGAGACGTTACTGGTGCCCGCTCGAGCAAATCAATGAACAAAGGGAGGACAGTGCTACAGTGTTACCTAAGGCCAAATTCAAATGCTTGGGTGATTAGGAGGTAAAATGACATTCCAGGCTTTCCTAGCCATAGATAGTAGCCTGCTGGAATTTTGAAATACATATTCCTATTTTTGACATTTAAAACAAACATATATATTTTTATTTATCTCACACAATAAACAGACTTCCCTTCTTAAATCATTAAAATAGAGAATTCTTGAGATGGTCCACAACGTTTGTACAAAAGTCTCTGAAATCTTTTCAGTGGCCCTGAGTCTAAAATGAATCTGCTAATGCACATCTACATTTCTAAGACCCCTTGAAGGACAGAGAACAAATACATTTTGAATCAAGACAATGAGTGACAGGAAAACTTGTCCAGTCATAGGATGACGAAGAGTCAATCTTTATATAGCCCAAGAATTGGTGCTTGAATACTATTTTCCCCAACTGTGTTGAATTTATAAAGTAAATTTTTCTTTTTTTATCTTTGTTTTCCTTTTAGATATACCAATAACTACCACCTGGACCCTTCAAGATAATTTTGATAAGCATCAAACTATGTCACAAAGTATTATTGACCACATCTCAGGATTTAAAGATGAGACTGGAATTGTGGCAGTCACATCTTCAGAGTATATTCCAAATCTTGATAAACTAATATGTGGCTGTGAAGATGGGACAATTTTCATTACTAAGGCTTTGAATGCTGCAATAGCAGGACTGCTAGAAGGCGGTTCTTTATTAAAAGGTCATTGGACTTTATTTGACCCTATTCATTAATTTTACCAAAACTTCAACTTTAATACGCTTGACTGTGAGGATTGAAAAGCTTGGGGGGTGAGGGGAAGGCTGGCATTTACTGATAAGTTTGTTTATATTTTAATGTTAAAATATAGTCTTTTTTAAAGTCAAGTAGATTATACAATAAAAAAAATATTTTTTTGTCCTTCTTTCAAAGGGTTCTTCAAATACTCTTTACTAAAGACAGCTGCTAATTTTCCTTATACCATTTTCATTTTTTTTTGTGTTGTATATACCAGCATAACACTATGTACTATTTTATTTATATTTCTTTATATTACACAAAGAGCAACACACTCTCAGTTAACTGAAATGCCTTTAACTAATCTTAATAAAATATTTGAGGAGCATGTCAATATGAGTATATTTAAAAATGATTATCTAATCATTTCTAATGATTTCTAACTTTCTAATTAGAAAAAATACCTTATTAAAATAGAATGAACTATCTTTGCATGCATATATGGGCATGATCTGTAGTTTTACTTCCCAGGAATAGAATTACTGAATCAATATTAATGTGTATTGTAGATTTTGAAAATATAACTAAAATGTTTTCTATCAACATTTATCAGTATACACGTGTGTCCACTAGCAACCCGTGAAAATGCTTTTTCTCTGACCAACTGTGGATACTTCTAGAAGTTTTTTTAATGTCTGAAAATCAATAGAAAATTTTATTTCTTGCCTCAATTTTCTATTTGTTGGTACAATGTGTTTCCACATTTATGCATTTCAAAAATTAGTAATACCTATTATTACAGCTTAATAAAGTTTAAAAAAAGAATAAAAATGGGAGCTGAAAATTTGGTGATGTGAAAGCACAGCTGTATATCATTTAAAAACATATTATGGGTCCTAGTAGACAGCAAGGTCTTTGAGGTTAAACACTCAGTTCAATTTAAAGGGGTTTATGTATTATAGTTCTTGGCTCACTTTAGCTTCCTTTATCCTTGACTTTAATGTTAATTTTAAGGGCAACATCACTAACTTGAGGTTATTTTTGAAGAGGTAAAGTGCTCACTCTTTTAGAGAAATGTTTGCTAATTTGTGGCACTGGAGTTGGTTGTTTGCTAGTGTACTTGAAAACTTAATAGATTTTGAAGAACCAACATCAGGGCTTCATCAGAAGCTCAACCTGTCTTAAAATGGGGCTTGCCTCAACTTCTTGACATTGGTGCTGCAATTAGTGTTAAACAACATCTGAATGTGAGCACAGGTGATACACACTGGCATTCACATGTTGGTGTACCAAAGCTATTGGGTAATATTCTTAGCCTTGTATAACTTTAACTATATGAAATTTTTCTTTATTACAAATTTGTAAAAAAAAAAGCAGGTAGGGTCTTTTCTTTGTAGCAGGTATTATAGCAGGTAGGGTTTTTGCCTTGTATTGTGGTGACCCTGGTTTGGTCCCCAGCACCCCATCTGGCCCCCTGAGCATCACCAAAACAAAACAAAACAAAAATTGTAAAAGAAAATCTTCAGAAAATGTCTTGAGCAAAAATAACTTTTCCCTCCCCTTGGCATTTGGTTGTTTTCCAGATTCCCTTTCTCATAAAGTTCTAAAAGGCCATCACCAAAGTGTTACTTCATTACTTTATCCACATGGTCTTTCCTCAAAATTGGATCAAAGTTGGATGGTGTCTGGGGACCGAGATTCATGTGTCATCTTGTGGGACATTTTTACTGAAGAAATCTTGCATCAGTTCTTTTTAGAAGCTGGTCCAATAACGAATCTTTTCATGTCACCAGAGAATTTCAAAGTAAGTTAAGGGACAAAGAGTAAATATAAAAATTAAATTGCATAAAATAAATTGTTAAGAGAGTAACCAAAATGATTATATTTCTGTAGAAAAAAGTTTTATGTGTGCCATTACACAATTTTATGTTTTTAATCACCTTTCTAAATAATTTTTATTATTATGACAGCTCAAATTTTACAGGTAATTTAGTTATATAAGCAAATATTTTGTCAACTGTTGACCTTACAAATGTCACTTAATTAACTTTTAAGTATTTATACATTTTCTTTCCCCCTGGTTCCATATTTTAAGTTTTAATAAAACAAAGTCTTTAAATTAAAGCAATAAACTATAAAAGCAAAAATAATTCAAATGCTGTAGAGATATGTAAATCAAAATTTAAGGTTTTTTTGTCTAACAATTTGTAATAACATGATATAGTTTTTTCAAGCTGTACTTTTCCTTAAGTGAGACTTCATTTGATCTTTTATTTAATAAATAATGAGTTTAAATAAATTTATGAGCATCTACATTCTGCTGGGATAAAGGACATACTTTCATGTATAATTTTCTTATGAAATGTAAATTTAAATTTAACTTTCTTTGGAGTTGATATTTCTTTTAAAATAGAAAAAATCTTTTAAGCTGCTTTAGTTTGCAAGTTAGATGAGTGGCTTATAAATTATTTCTTTATACTAATATTATAAAAAATTACCTCCAAAGTAAACTCAGAAAAATCTTAAATTGTAATAAGACATAACCAAAGCAATGTTTTAGTTAAATGATTAAACAAAATAGTAAAGTGTAAAACCATTTCCCAATAGTGATTTTGGATGCTACGGTGTTCATTCTTGATGTCCCCTTCTGAATCTTTTTACTTCTATCTCAGTCATAGCCGATTTATGTCTGAGGCTTAGGGCCCATTAAATGAAGTCAAATAAAAAGGGAGTTATTGACAGGATGTGAGAGACAATCCTTTAGACATCCAAGACAACACACTACAGTCAGGGCCCAATGGAACGTGACAGACATCCAGAAACCAGAGCTATTCACTGAGCCCTTCTTCTCCTCGGTATCCCCTTCCCTCCTTTTTGCTTTTCTTTTCCTTAAAGACTATTTGTTTGGCTTTACTGTGATTGTTCCTTACATAGCTTATCCCTATGACTTCTTTGTCTAATTTTGAATGCCTAGTAAAGAGAACCATATTGGTATAGAGGATGTCTGCTCCTAACATGTGTGTAGTTCCATGTATCCAGGAGAACACTGCATCGTCCACACTAGAATCAGGAGGACTATCATCTGCCTCTTTCTTTTAACTTTGTTTGTTCGGGGACACATCCAACAGTGCTCAGGGCTTGCTCCTGCTCTGTATTCAGGGATCACTCCTTGCAGGTTCAGGGAACCAGATGGGATGCAGAAGACGAACCGGATCAGCCATGTGTGAGCAAATGCCCTACTTGCTGTACTACCGCATGGCCCTGTCATCTGCCCGTTTCTCTACAAGGCAGGGCTCCCAGGCTGACACATTTGCTGTTTTGTGGTTTGCATCCCAGTGTTTATGTGGCCTCCTTTAAAAGATGTATGGAACATAACACGCTCCCTTGTACCCCTTAGAGAATTCCTCACTGGGGTCTGGAGGGACCCTAACTGGTGATTAAACACAGCAGCTGAAGCACTGTCCAGTGTGTTGGTGAAGTAGGAGAAAGCAGCCCCCAAGGAGGGTAGAAGAGAGAAATGTAACCTGCCCTCCCGCTGTTTGAGTCTCAACTACGATTTTCCCAGGCCAAACTCCCATTAGTAAGATGACTAATTAATGTCCTAGAAATGAGTCACAGTAACCCCATAGATTAGCCTAAAGAACATCAGGTTTTGGTGGCTTTTGGTCTAAACTGTGTCTGAAGTGAATACATGCTGACTTTTACAAAAGCATCTTAATCTTTGTCCTATGAGCCTATTTTTGGTCCTTGTGTCTTTGAAGCTGTATATTCAATTGATACTATTTAATGCTTACCTCTTTTAGATTGTGTCTACACTGAGTTTCCTGTTTGAATTAGAATCTGTATAGTTCTGGGAACAGCACCAAATCACATTTTGAGGTTCTAAGTGGAAAATATCAGCTCATGATACCCTTGGGCCTAAGCTTGTGTCTACTAATAGCTTCTTTTTATGGTACCAAATTAGTTCTGGGGTTTATTGTATTCTGCATTATTTCCGATGTCTGCCTCACTGCCTGAATTTGCTGAGTGATGGTCAAGTCCTTCTTTTATCATCTAAGTAGATCTGGCCTGGAATTCTTATTTGCATCTCTTGACCTTTCTGAGATTGTTTAATGTGCCCAGTTGGCTGTTGCCACTAGGCTGTTGCATGGTGCTGTGGAAGGTGGAAATGTTTGATAGGTGGGGTTGTAACAAAAACATTGTAGTAGAAGAAAATGAAATTTAATTGTAAGGAAAGATTGTGTATTGACACAAGATTACTTTCTATCTTACAGCTGAGAGGTGAGCAGGTAGTCTGCTGTGTCTGCAGTGATCATTCTGTGGCCCTTCTCCACCTGGAAGAGAAGCGGTGCCTTCTTAGTGCCCGGAAGCACATTTTCCCTGTTACAAAAATAAAATGGCATCCTATTGAGAATTTTTTGATTGTTGGATGTGCCGATGACTCTGTTTACATCTGGGAAATTGAAACAGGTATATTAAAATTTTACTCTTTTCATTTTTTTCTGTATTTCCGGCATCAACTATGTGGCTGGGCAATGTGTTCTAGAAAAGACTAGTCATTGACTTGATTTTTACTTCTGATTGGGCTGCACTTCACAGCTGGGATTGAAGGTACCTATAGAAAATAAAACACAACAGCTCAATTCACATCCTAACCAAATGATGATTAGCTGACAAGCAGTGCACAGGAATGAGCCGGATATTTCTGGAAGCTATAAATAAAAACATAAGTTATCTACTTTAATTATTAACAAGAGAAAAATTTAGTGTCCTACCAGTCTCAAATTCTCATTAAATCCTGCCTTCTTCAGCATACTCACCATCTCAGCAACATTTTGAACTAATTGATGATCAGTAATAATGGAATATAATTAATTACAAAATTCCAAAAAAGTTGAGTCAGGGAAACTGAAAACTGTGTGCTTCGGTTGAACTCTTGATATTGTAACAGAGAGAATGCATATTGGAATTTTTGAGTTTCTTAAAACATTTTGCTCTATAACATGTTCATTTCAGACAAATGCTGAGAATATGTGAGATAAGATGATGTGATTAATGAATACTAGTCAGGAGAAGGCACTTGATAGTACATTTCATAAAAATCCAGTAAATAACTTTCATTGATTAATCAGCATTGGTTTTATTTGGGTGTTATTAATATACTGGAAAGTGTTTTAGCATATCTTTTGGGCCATACTTGACTAAAATTCCTGTTTTCTTTATCTTTCTTCTGTTTGGTATTGGTGGTGGTGGTGGGGGGGGTCAAACCACATTCGTTGGTGTTCAGGGTGTGGCCCAGCCCCTGATATCAATGCCTTAGTTTGTGTTTAGGGATCACTCCTGCCAAGGCTTAGGAAACCAGGTATAGTGCTGGGTATCTAATCCGTGTTAGTCAAATGGAAGGTAAGATGCCTTACCCACTGTACTATTGCTCCAACTCAATGATGCTTATTTTCTTTACATTTGACTTGCCTGTGTTACGATGTTTACAAATGCATGGTGTGGAGAGAATGCAGCATTCTACTGCCTTACATGTATTTTATTATATAGCATTTGTTGCATTTTTTTTGGCATATCAAATACGTCACGGGTAGCTTGCCAGGCTCTGCCGTGTGGGTGACATACTCAGTAGCTTGCCGGGCTCTCTGAGAGGGGCAGAGGAATCGAACCTGGGTATAGGAGGAAACCAAGACATTGTAGCATTTTATAGACTTTGTTCCCATTGGATGGTGACACATTTTAGGATGGTTTAAAATGTCATTTCGCCATTGTAGTGCTGGAGCATTTATGGTTCTGGTTTATCAGTGTGCAAGATTTCACAGCTCAATAAGTGGTGAATTGGGGCCTGAGAGATAATAGGGGTGGTAGGATACTTGCTTTACATGTGGTCAACCCGAGTTTGATTCTTGGCATCACATACAGTTCCCCAAGCACTGCCAGGAGTAATTCCTGGGTGCAATGCCAGGAGTAACCCCTGCTTATAGTTGGATCTGGCCCCAAAACAAAAATAATTAAGTTATGAATCAATTTGAATTTGAGTTTAGAGGCTGGAGCGATAGCACAGCGGGTAGGGTGTTCGCCTTACAAGCGGCCAACATGGCCAACCCAAGTTCGATTCCTCTGCCCCTCTCGGAGAGCCCGGCAAGCTACCGAGATTATTTGATATGCCAGACACAGTAACAACAAAGTCTCCAATGGAGACGTTACTGGGCCCGCTCGAGCAAATCGACGATCAACGGGAGGGCCTTTACCTTTACCTTTTGCCAATTTGAGTTTGGTTATATATATCATGTAACCAATCACCATTATTGGTTACATGATATATATAAAATTAGCATAATTTTGAATTAGTTGAAAATCTTTCAGCCTGAGTTATAGTTGTTTATAATGGACAAAATAGACTCCAGAAAGTGGGATTGTCTCTGGGATCTCCATGACTATTTCAAGTTATTTGTCTTTGTAACAAGTTTTCTCATTGTAAAATCACGGGAAAGATCACGGTCCTCCCGTTGTTCTGTGATTTGCTCGAGTGGGTCCAGTAACGTCTCCATCATGAGACTTGTTATTACTGTGTTTGGCATATCGAGTACATCACAGGTAGCTTGCCAGGCTCTGCCATGTGGGCGAGATACTCTCCGTAGCTTGCCGGGCTCTCCAAGAGGGGTGGAGGAATCGAACTCGAGTCGGCTATGTTGGCTGCGTGCAAGGCAAACGCCTTTCCACTGTGCTATAATGTTGCATATGTCTTAGGGTTAAATGAACTAATAGTAGCCATAGTGCTTTTAATAACACCTCAAAGAACTAAGTTCATAGTAATAGTGGGCTCATTATTATTAAAGAATTTACAAGATCACATTATTATCAAGAAATTCACTTCTGCTTATGAAATCTGAGCTTGTAAACATGTGTACTTACAAATGTGTATAAGTGTACTATTTTATTTTGATTGGTTTGTTTTTGACAACACCCATTGGTGCTCAAAACTTACTCCTGGCTCTGGATTTAGTATTTCAATCACTTCTGGTAGTGTTCAGGATCATGTGTGATGTCAGAGACTGAGCTAGCTGCATGCAAGGCCAAAACTCTACCTGTTGTACTATCTTGTTGGCCCCAACACACTGTCACTGTCACTGTCACTGTCCTCCTGTTGTTCATCAATTTGCTTGAGCGGGCACTAGTAATGTCTTACAACAAATTGTGAGATTTGTTACTGTTTTTGGCATATCAAATACGTCATGGGTAGCTTGCCAGTTTCTTCCATGTGGGCGACATACTCTGGGTAGCTTGCTGGGCTCTCTGAGAGGGGCAGAGTAATCGAACCTGGGTAAAGGAGGAAGCCAAGACATTAGCACTTCTGGAGACCATTATTATTCTCACATAGTTTTACTATTTCTATTTAAACTCTCCAAATAAATTATTAAACTCTATATAGCTCTCCCTTTCAGAGAGCCCAGCAAGCTACCAAGAGTATCCCACCTGCACGGCAGAGCCTGGCAAGCTACCCATGACGTATTCAATATTCCAAAAATAATAACAATAACAGGTCTCATTCTCCCCGACCCTGAAAGAGCCCCCAATATGCCACTGGGTTACACTAGCATTCAACAGGACGAATGGAGATGTTATTGGCACCCGCTCAAGCAAATCTATGAATAATGGGACAAGTGATACAAGTGATAGAGCATTTGTAAAATAGAGACATATAGCCAAATGGTTATCCTGTCTCACCTCCCAGACTATCACTATTCTCAATACTTTGATCTGCTCTCTGTTAGGTGTGTTTCTATGTCTCTACTGAGTTCAGTCATGATTCCGCCATAATATTAAATTCAACCCGATGGGTAAAAAGAAGAAACATTACTGAAAGAAATATTTATAGGTGTCTGGACATTGGGAAAGAGTTGAGGATTTCTTCATGATGCCCTGAGCACCCAAACTTTGGCATTCTCAGCTATCTTTCACAGAGAAGATAGTGCTGCTGGAAACCAGTGTGAACTGAAGGTGAATAGGCTTGACGCTCTTAAGTCATGCAAGAGAATTCATTACAAAGATACAGGACTAACACAGGTAGAGAGTTGGAAACAGTTCTCTTTTCTTTCTACTACATTTGCTTCCACTCGTTTAATCCAACTGGGAGTCAGAGAGGATTAAGTGTTCAATTCTAGGTAACAGTCAGGGCCACAGAGCCTGACATAGAAGTGTAGGCAAAGGATCGAGTGGGGACAGTGGTTAGTATGGTGATATTTATGGGCACACCATATTTTAACTCAGAAATCACCATGGTAGTTGATTATTTGTTGTTTCCTATGAAGAGTTTGTTAGAAAATTGCCATATTAGGTATTATATATATTTGAGCCAAATTAACCTATAGAATATTTGTTTCAAATGATACTATTGAACCATTTCTTCCTTGTTTTGTATTATACTAATAGCCTATAAATAACATTAATTAAACCTATGGTAGAGCTTCTCAGTGGTGAAAATGTTATTATACTTGTATTAGTTCTGCACACACCTGTGTTATGACTTTTTCCCTTTCCAAGTACATTACTCTTGACAATCTAATTTGCACCCTTCATCATTAACTTGGAGGTTGCTAAACAGTCATTGATTGTTTTTGATTTGTTTCTCTTTGTATTTTTTGGCCACACCTGGCGGTGTTCAGAGATTACTTCTGGTTCTGTGCTCAGAAATCATTCTGAGTTTAGTGGACAGAGATGCTTCTACAATTTCTGTATGTAATTTCTCTTTCATCTTTTTATGCACAGATGGTAAAATTACAGGTATGAAAGCACATATAGTTATAGTTTCATAAAGTTATGGAAGAACCATCAGCTTAGAGCAAAACAATTAGGCTGAAAAGAGGCCTATGTGGCTATATAATGCTTTTTACTGATGTTTTTGGAATGTGAACGATAAACAGGTAAAGGTAAAAGGTAAAGGCCCTCCTGTTGTTCATCGATTTGCTCGAGCGGTCCCAGTAGCGTCTCCATTGGAGACTTTGTTGTCACTGTGTTTGGCATATCGAATACGTCACGGGGAGCTTGCCAGGCTCTGCCATGCGGGCGAGATACTCTCAGTAGCTTGCCGGGCTCTCCGAGAGGGGCGGAGGAATCAAACTCGGTCAGCCATGTTGGCTGCGCGCAAGGCAAACGTCCTACCTCTGTGCTATCGCTCTAGCCTGAACGATAAACAAGTTAAGCCAAATGCTCCTTGTGCCTTGGTGGCTTGAGTACAAATTTATTATCCCAACACTGGTCCATTGCGGTTGATTACGGTTCATGCCTTCTCCACTGTAGGTGTGTCCTTAGCTTTGTTTTAAGTTTTCTGTAGGATTTTTAAAATTAGTAGGATGTGTTTCACTTCCTCATGGGTTAAGTCTTTTTTTTCTACACCTGTCAGTTTTTCTCCGAGTCTTTGCCTCTTTGATTCATTCAAAATCCTTCAGACTTTGCTCCAAGTGTGAGTA